GAGAGAGAGAGAGAGAGAGAGAGAGAGCGAGAGAGAAACACGAAGGGATGGGGTGGAGAGGGATGCTGTTCTGTTCTGCTCCGCGCCAAACTTGTCTCGGCTCTGCTCTTCCTCCGCTGGCTGCGCTGCGACTCCAAGTTCGTGATTTCCTGAATATATATTCGTTTTTACGTCCCTCTATCTCCTCCACCGCCAAACCCCTTTTCCGAACCCGTTCTGTCGGCGCGCCTCTCCCTGCTGCTGCGCCGGAAGAGAGTGCGCGGCGGGGGCGCGGCGGGGCGCGGCGGGGGCGCGGCGGGGTGCGGCGGGAAGGCATGACTCGGAGCAGGGGGTAGCGGCCGCGATGGAGTGCGCGGTGGGAGGGGGTGGGGTGGGGTGGTCCACCGCAACAATCTCGAACAATGCAAATCCGGCTGTCTCGGCTGAGACCTGCAGCAGTGCGGGAGAGCTGCGCGAGGCTGCGAGCCTCGTGCGTCACCATCTCCCTAATCAACGCCAAGGACAACGTCGAGGCCCGCCTGGGCTCGCCACGGCACGTCGGCGCAGCAGGTACAGTCAGGGGGGACCCCGCCGCCCGGCCGCTAACTTGTACCCCCCAACACACACACACACACACACACACACACACACCAAAAAAACCTCTTGGGAGTTAATCTCCCAGGCAGTAAAATAAACACAGTGCAAAACACGAACTAAAGGGCGATGCTGCTTGCGTAAAGCCGGGGGGTACGTGCATACAGGGTGTCCCACAGACCCCTCCTTGTTTTGCTTATGCTTTACCACATTGAAGGGGTTGGGGGAGAGGGGGTGCCTACTTTCTGGACACCCCTAGGCGCCATGGTGAGCGACGGTAGGCAAAGTCGTCCCGCGCACGTCCACATGTGGTACAGTATAAGCACGCCACGGAGTTTATGGGACACCCTGTGTGTGATCGAGGACGAGATGGGTAAGGCGGAGACGGATGCGTGCTGGCGCTGGCAGTCGGGTCGACCCGCCCCGGGGATTCCCGGGGGCTGCCCCGGAGCCGGGGGGGG